GGGGGATTTCCTGCTTGAGCAGCAAGCAGTGAGGAAGGATAGAGTGGGGGAGTCAGGCAAACCCTGCTGTGCCTTCAAGTCTCTGCCGGAGCTCCAGCCAGGGACAGACATTGCATAAGATGGTTTGAACCATATCAGTTAAGTCTGATACTACATTCAACCAGCTTTATCTCAAACTGGTTGCAGCTGTTTTCAAACTGGTTTATGTGCACTTTACATCTTTTCTGTTACTGGTTTAAACCAGTTTCTGATCACTTAAGCCGGCTTATGTGTAATGTCTGTCCCTAGCTCAAGAGAAGATTCAGGAATGCAGCTCAACAATTGAAAGCTTACCCAGGTGCTGACTCTGGGAGTGATCATGTACCTGTAATATGCACCATCAAGATAAGTTGAGGAAACTTAAGAAAATAAAAATAACAAAGAAGCTTGATTATTCAACTCTAATGGAAAAAGATCTGATTAAAGAAAGATACACAGTTGCAGTCAAAAAAACATTTTCAGAAATTTGAAGGAAATATGTCAAACTGGGAAATGGTCAAAGATGCACTACTTGAAACAGCCAAGGAAGTTATTCCATCAAAAGTATGGCAAAAGAAACAGAAATGAATGACTGAAGAAATCCTTGAACATATGGAAGAAAGATGAAAACCTGTGGTATGAAAGTATAAGAAACTGGACAAAAGAATTTGATCAAGGTGCAATGAAGAAAAGGAACAGTGGCTTAATGAAAATAAGCCACAGAGATAGAGAAACAAAAGGTAAAGTTGTTACCTCGGTGTATAGGGATATCAAAGACATCACAGGCAGAGGAGGATATACTGCTAGGGGATCTATAAAAACCAAGAATGGTGATGTAATTATGGAATGAGAACAAGTATTGAAAAGATGGACAGAGTATATTGAATAGTAAGTCCATGATGGCTGAGAAGAAAAGCCATCTATTAGGAAGAACATGAATGGTTTGAAAATTCTTGAGTCAGATGTACAAACAGTTATCAACCAAATAAAGACCAATAAGGCTATATGACCAGATGAGATTACAGTAGAGCAAATAAAATATTTGGAAGAGTTTAGTATAGAAAAGTTAACAACTGTTACCAGTGAGATTTATGAAAATGGAGAAATACCTGAGGACCTCAGTAAATTGATCTTTATTGCACTCCCCTAAAAATAAGGAGTCATTGAATGTAAACTCCATTGAACCATCAGTTTAATGAATCATATGATCCTATTAAAAGTTATGATGAGAGCTAGAAGTAGAATAAGACCAGAGATTGCTTAAGTTCAGTATAGTTTTGCTGAAGATCGTGGTACCAGAAATGCTTTCTTCGTGGTACAAATGCTTTTGGAGAGGGTAATAGAAATGAGGAAAGACCTTTTCTTGTGTTCTATTTATTGTACCAAAGCTTTTGATAGTCAAGCATGAGGAGTTAATGAAAATGCTGGAAGAATTGGATATTGATGGTAAAGACTTGAGAATTTTAAGAAACTTCTTTTGAGACCAAACTGCAGCAGTGCAGATCGAAAACTAAGTGATTTGCATCCAAACTGAGGGGCGTGAGGCAAAGCTGTTTTTTCACTTGACTTGTTCAACTTGTAGAGTGAGAAAATACTGAAGGAGCTTGAGGATTGACCAAAGCTGATCATTGGTGGACAGAATTTGAACAACTTGCATTATGCTGATGACACAGTCTTAACAGCTGATTCAGAAGAGACGCTGCAAGGAATTTTAGATAAAATTGTTAGTGAAAGCAAGAAGAAGGGTCTGAGTATCAACTGTAGAAAAATGGAATGCATTGCAATTACAAAAAAGATCATTCTGGTATGCAACATCGAAGTGGCAAAGGAACAGATAAGGCAAGTCAATAAATTTAACTACTTGGGAAGCTGGATAACTGACCATGAAATGTGATCATGAAACAAAACGGAGCATAGGGATGGCAAAAGATGCATTTCTGAAAATGAAAATGATACAAATAGTAAAATTTGTATTGGGACGAAGTTGAGTTTTGGATTACTGTTATACCAGTCCTCATGTTTGAATCAGAATGTTGGACAATATCGCCAGATATGGACAAGAGAGTTGAAGTACTTGAGATGTGGCTCTTAAGCCGCATCTTGAAGATAGGTTGGATAAGTCGCGCTTCAAATGAAGATATTTTGTGAAGAGCAGGCTGCAGGAGGAAGCTGCTGATTAACATCAGAAAGAGACAGTTGGAGTTTCTCCGACACATTATGAGGAAAGAGGAAATTGAAAGCATGGTCATAACTGGAAAGATTGAAGGAAGAAGAGATCGTGGAAGACAGAGGTTAACTTGTCAAGAGTCTATCTACACTGGAAATTCTGTATGCCTCAAAAAGAAGGGATCTGTGGAAGACCGTGGTTGCCAACATCCTGTATGGATATGGTACAGAGACAGACTGAGAGAGAGAGATTCACCTTAGTGCTGTTCTTTAGAGTGTAACATGACTCGTGAAGTGATGCATGGGTATATATACAAGATGGGAATATAGTAATACAAACTGTATTGTAATGTCATTGCACTTTAAATTTATGGCATATGTGTTGGCAGTAGGACAGCAGCTTAGTACATGGCAATATCTCGTTTGAGGGGAAATGGAATGATGAGAAAATAATTGCATAAATTGTATATTTATTTCCAATTCTCTCCCACCCAAAACCAGGCTCTTCACCAGTCTTTTAAATGATACTTGGTTCTTACAGGTCAATGCTCGTGTGCTACCGACTTGATTGTTGCTAGGTTACATACTTATGAAGATAGTACTTATGCCACTGTATTTTATATGCAAGGTACCTTGATTTTTAGTTCTGTCTATTCATACTCTTTTTTTGTCTTCAGAACTATTTTGCTTTTAAAGTTTGTATGAAGAAAAAGCACTGATATCCACTGGGTCTGAGTAACTTTTTTCTCAAGACATATACTATTTGTTTTAAAAGGCCATTCCTTTCACTGTTTGGTAATTGATGAGTTAAAGTTCCAATGTTCTTTTTAAAAAAATGGCATTATCAAAAACTAAGGGTTGCTGCAGCAGTTTTTTGAAATCTTCACTCACCTGATAATACTGATTTTTTTTTTTTTTTTTTTTTTCTTTCTGTTGATTAAAACGATTTATGTTGTCCCTGGAGGAGTATATTTTGAGCACTTTAACATTTTATTACTCTATTATTATCTTAAGTGGATTAAGTGATTTTGGCCAATTCAATTATTTTACAAAGGAAATGAAGAGATATTTAATGGGAATTCAGTGATCTAATTCAACCATCTAAGATGGTCTGCTTTCTTTCATACATTTACCTTTTGTTTTGGCAATTCTATTAATAGTGGACTTAAAAAGATTTTTATGTGGCAGTTGACTGTGGGAATCATGGGCTCAATCCAACCTGTGACCAAGATAACAAAAATGTTCTTGCTCTGTAGTTGGTCCTAGTTATGTGCAATAGGATAACAGAAATAAAAAGGGGAAATTCTGTTAGTTCCCAGTCTTCACCTTTTTTTCGCTGTTTAAGAAATGATGCACTTGAAAAATAATTTTCCTATCCAGAAATTTTAATAGAGTACTCAACTTTCATATAAACTATTTTAAGTCTCTTTCAGTTTTCCTAGCATTACAAATTTGTGAAGGAAATTTTAGTTGAGAAATTGTGAAAATAAGATTAGAAGGATTAAATGGAATATAGTGTAAATTAAAAAAAAAAATTAGACAATGCATCTACCGACCTAATATACTGTCTTTTGCCGGAGCTCAGATGTGTGTTTAATTGGACGACTTTATGCATAGAGGGCTGAGGGCCTGTGCGGCTTAGGCGGTAAGATAGGAGTGCTTTCACTTCTGTGCTAAATCTGTCCTGAGGCCTTAAGTGGACCCAGTTTGCTAATCCCATTTTAGGCTCAGTCGCACCAGAAATTCTGAATGTAATTTGTCACTATCTGGAGTCTCGCATGAGAAACAGCATGGTGTTTGAAATGCCCTCCTTCCCAAGGGAAGGGTAATCTCTATTACCCATCCCTCTCTCCCAGTCAGGCTTGGAAGTCATTGACGGGCTATTGATGAGGCAGTACACAGTGCAACTGTGTGTCACATCTTAGTCTGAGAGTATTGAAGAGAGGTCAGTGTTTAGTGCCAGTGCCTGGGTCTTTACAAGGGCTAAATAGTCTCTCTCCCCTCAAAATATTCCTCTGAGGCCCAGATAGAATTCCTGCTTTGGTTGAGGTCTATAACTTACACTCTGTTATTTCTAACCCAAATAAGTCTCCGATCCATCCTGTTAGTAACTTGTACAGCATTTTTCTCATAGTTTTTAGTACATTTGCACAGAGGTATCACCGTTGTAGTTTTTGTCTAACGTGTCTAGTATTTTACAGAATTCTTTC